AAGCACCAGGAGCTGGACCTTGCGCGGCATTGGACCGGTACTGAGACTGCTGTTGAGACTGATGTTGTTGTTGCTGAGAAGGAAAATTTCCTCGGCCTCCTCTTCCTCTCGTAGAACCTCCCCTGCCTCTGTTTGATACTCTATTTCCACGATCTGATTGGTTTTGATTCTTCTCCAACCACCAGTCTGGAAAGCCAATAATCTGCCAACAATCCTTCTTGTCATGGCCACTGCGACCACAGTGTGAACATACCATTGTCGATCGAGCAGGAGTTACAGCTGTTGTATTGAAACCGTGGACCAAATCTTGCTCAGAATTTGCGGTAAAGCCAACGACCTCGACTTTTGCATCAGAACGAACAGAGGCTAATCTGCTCTCTTCACGAACCACTCGTTGATAAACACTATTCAGATCAGGAAGTGGCTCCAGAGAAATTATGTTTGTCACCACGTTTCCAAACCTTACTTCATCAAGACCCATCAAGAACTGATGGACACGTTCCTCTTCATGATCTTTCACAATTTTCTCCATAGCAAGACACTTACACTTCGGCAAAGGTTTATAGGTGAGAAACTCCTCCCACCTAATGGACAGCTTACCAAAATAATCCACAACACTCATCCCTTCTTGTCTGGACGCAGCCAACTCGGCTCTTATCTGATGAGCACGAACTGCATTCCCGATCGAGAAACGCTGCTTCAGATCACCCCACAACCTGTGAGCATCAGTCGTAAAAGTCACAGTTGAGCGAATCTTAGGAGAAATTGACGCCCTTATCCACCCAATTATCATGGAATTCACTGTATTCCAGATCTCAAGATCAATAGAATCATCTGATGGTTTTGGTAACGTTCCATCTATGAAGCCAAATTTACGCTTTGCACGCAAAGCGTTCTCCAACTCAGAAGCCCATTCAGCGTAGTTATCACCCGTAAGTTGCACCGGAGAGATTGCAATTCCCGGATTATCAGACGACGCGAGCTCGTACGGCGATCGTAACTTCTTAACTACAGCAACTGCTGTATCAGATTTTTCTCCCATGATGATAAGAAAACTAAAGAAATTTAAAGAGTATTTGGCTCTGATACCATGTAAAGTAAATAAGAAATTTGGGAAAAATGTGTGTTTATTCCTCAGGAGAAGGTCTCCTTATATACGTATGTACATGACTCGAGATAAGTCCCAACAAGACTAGGAATTATCTACAATACTTACATCATTATTATCATAATATTCTCCTAAAAATTAGGACTTATCTAGACATATCTCAACACTATACACATGCAATCACCGTCGGTATGAGATTCTCAAATTAAGAACAGGGGACAGGCTTCGAAGGTTTCTCTGCAAGTACATGCAATAACCGTCGGTATGAGATTCCCAATTCCATGAACAAAGTACACGCTTCGAAGGTTATCTGCAATTTGGAGAAGTTCAGGTGAAAGACATCTACCACTACAATCCGAACATGAGAGAGGAATGGTGAGACAGTTGGATTCAATTATTTCGGATATAGATGAGAGATTTAAGTCTGAATCGAGAAAGGAGAGAGATTAAACTGTAAACATACGCAAAAGACATTATTATGCAAAAACTTTATAATATAAATGTTAGTCCAATGGCAATTGTAGTAAATTTCCTAGATGGAGGTGGGTACTTTTAAAAATGATCTCAAAAGCTCTGTGTGGCTGACACGTCACCATAATGGCAGCCTTGTAAATAAATAACCATTTAAAGGTTAGTCTTATTAGTTGCTTCCATTTTAATAATAAGGGGATGTTTACCATGCAAATTTCTTTTAAAATAAAAAAATAAAAACATATCATATACATAGTAAAATATATATATTAAAAAGATAAAAGGTCGTTTTAGATGAAAACATGATACAAGAAAACAAACTATCAAAACCAAAAAGTAAACCAGAAGTGGTTGTATATTTACTAAAAAGGATAAAATAAGAAAATAATATTAGCAGCATATATAGTTGTAATTTTAGGTACTAGGGCATAATCTTTGCATGAATATCTATTAGTGTACATTTTATTAATTCAAAAACTAACATGATAAGTTATTATTATATTGTTTTTTTTAAAAATGAAATGTCCAATTATTTAAATTAGACAAAAAAATTCATCAAAAGATATATGTTTCTTGTTGTATTCAAATCTAAAAACATGTATATATTAAATTATTTTAGAAAATATATTTATATACATGTTTTTTATTGACTAATATTTAATTATAATTATTATATCTTAACCTTTGAAATTTTATAATAGAGTAATATTATTTTCTGAAGCAAAAGAAAAAAGAGTTTATATAAAACAAAATATTTATAAGAATTATCATGTTGATACAATATTTTTTTTCCTGATTACAACACAATAAATATAAAATTATCTTTTGATAAGTATGTTTTTATTTTTGAAAAAATATTATGTTAATTTATAGTCAATTATCTAAAATAACATATAAATCTAATAATATTAATATAAATTCGTTTTAATTTTATCATAACGTCTATATATATAATTGAGCACAAGAGATGAGCAATTATGTGACGGCTAAGAGAGAGGGAACAAGTTGAGAGAACTAGGTTTTTCTTATAAGAACTAAGATTAATGATTTATTTTTTAGATTTTTCAGTTTTAGTTTGGCAAAATATTTTTGATTCAGACGACTTACTTCTTAGACGTTCAGAAGACTTTAATATTTGTAGCGGGAAACTAAAATATTTTTTAGCGGAAAAATAAAATTTTCTTAAATTTTAGGCGGGAATATTAAGACAACTTACATGTAAGTAGCCTAGTTTAAATTATTCACCAGATGACTTACAACTAAGTTGTCTAAAGCCTAAAGATAATTCCTAAACGAAATTAACTAACTAAACACTTCATAAAATCAAATTAAACTTTAAAAGTGTTTACTATACATAAAGATAAACACATATAGGTAAAATTTTAATTTTTCAAAAAAACATTTTAGATTTTCAGTTTTAGTTTAGTAAACAATTATTATTTTGTAAATTTTATTTTTTCTTTTTTTTTGAATAAAATATTATTTAAGAGGGAAAATAAAATTTTCTTAAATTTTAGACGGGAATATTAGGACGACTAACAAGTAACACGTCTAGACCCTAAACAAAATTAACAAACTAAACACTTCCTAAAATCAAATTAAAATTAAAAATTGTTTACTATACAAAGAAATAAACACATATAAATAAAAATTTAATTTTTCAAAAAAAAACATTTTAGATTTTCAGTTTTAGTTTAGTAAACAATTATTATTATGTAACATTTTATTTTTTCTGAATAAAATAATATTTAGGCGGGAAAACAAAATTTTCTTAAATTTTAAACGGGATTATTAGGACAACTTACATATAAGTCGTTTGGTTTAAATTATTCACCAAATGACTTACAAGTTAGTCGTGTAGACCTTAAACATAACCCCTAAACTTAATTAACTAACTAAACACTTTATAAAATAAAATTAAACTTAAAAAGTGTTTGTTATACACATAAATAAACACACATGGGTAAAATTTTAATTTTTCAAAAAAAAATTCAAGCTTTCCAAAATATAACCCTAAGAATACATACAATACTACAACATATGTTGTCAAACCAAAACACCAAAGAATATCATGATCAACTACATTCAATCATCTATGTTGAAAACTATTCAATTTTATGATATCTTAATTTACATCACTTAAAACTATTTATAATTACATAATCTTAATTTTTTTCACTTGTCAAAATATTTTTAAAAAATTTATTAATTAATATTAAAATCAACTACATCAGACGGCTAATTTGGAAGTCGTCAGCATCTCAGACGACTCATACTACTTATTGGGGCTATATTCGTAAAAGTAACTTCTGTTTTTTTTGTCACAAGAGGCTAGCTGTAGTTTCACAAGGCTTTTAGGTTAGTTTTGCATTTGATTCAAGTGTGGGTAACAACGACATTAACCACTCTATATTTTACTGTAAGAACGTAACTTGAATGCCAAAAATTACTTCGCAAATAATAGTATAAATTGTAATTTGAAATATTTAAACCGTTGTATGTATGATATGCATTCATTAGAAAAAAATTTATCAATGAATTAAAAAAAACATATATGAACGAAATTGTAATCTCTTCTTTTCAATATTAAAATAAACATAACCTAGAATAAAAATAATAAAATATATACAATGAAAATTAAGATCAATTTAACTTAAATTCATGTAAAAAATTTAAAATATTCAGTCTAATTGATGATACATTATGTAATTCTTTCAGATGCCAACTCACCCATAGAACGGGTCAATCCTACTTATATATATATCCATGAAAGTCCAGAACAACATACAAAAAGAACATTTAGATGAAACAACATACAAAAAAGAAACTTCCAAAACCAAAAAGTAAAACCAGAAGTGGTTGTATATTACTAAGATAGTATACAATAAGAAAATAATATTAGCAACATATATACAAGTTGTAATTTTAGGTACACGGGTCTCGTATCTGTTCTGTTTCATGTTTGATCAACTTTTGAACTCAATGTTGTTCTTGGTGTAGGATACATCACCTGATCAGCTTCAGAAAGGTAAGAATCTTGAACTTCCACGTGTCACTATTAGAACCAAAGAATGTAGCATAGGGATTTGTTGTAGACAAGTGTGTCTTATGTCTCTCCTTATCAAAGAGTTATATCATGTGTACTAAGAGTTTGCTTATGAAATGCGCAATGTAGCACTTAGCACGATGTTTTCAGTGAAGAAGCGAACGGGAAGCTTCGAAAAGCATGGGAAGGCAGTAAAGTTATCTACAACGTAGCTTCGTGGAATGCAACTGCCATAGGGTACATTGCACTCTCTTTAACACATTTGTTTGTTTATCTGATTGCCTGCTTCTAAATTCTCACCAATCTAATTGGTTTCTAGGATATATCAAAACCCAATGATCCTGAGTATTGCATCCAAAGCCTTCTGGGTGTCTTGCAAGGCCATATCAAAGCTTGTCTGACTTGAAACACGCATCTCCCTTCATCATGTTATTAACTGTGGTCACAACTCGTATCGGACATAATGCCAGTCTTGTAATGTATTGAAATTTTAATGCTAAAGGAAAATGTGATGAGGTGACCTTGCTTTTCCAAGCAAGCAAAATACTTGCAGTTTCAATCACACGAGAGCAAATGAGATCTGATCATTACAGCTTTGAGCTAAAGAATCTTGAGCAGTTTTAGCCGTTAGATGGTTAGAAAGATTTGCCTTTATTAATTGTAGTGTCCTCCTTGCAAAGAATAGAGCGAACCTCCACAATCGATCTCGGAGGCTCCACGTCCTGCTCTCTTAACGACTTGCCTAGTAGCTGTTGCATTTGTGCTGCAAATGTATCATCTAATATCTGCAAATTTGCACCATTTTATAAAGTACATAAGATGAGGTAAAAGTCTTAGTCATGCAATCAAAGTATAGGAGACTTACAGAGACAGCAACTCTAGAACCTTTGTACCAATCTCTGTTCTCTTTCCTGTTCTCCAAAAAGCTTAGAACAATCTATCATGAGCGCAGAAGGAGAATCAGCTCTCTAACACACAAAATCCGGGAGACACTATTGAAATAGTTACCTGTCCCATACAATCCCAATAGCCTCGGGTCAATGCGATGAATACATTTGTATCACAAACCGAATGTAGATGATTCACTGTGTCGATGAGCTGCTCCTTCAGGTTTTGCATTTTGCTTTTAATGTCTGATTCTCCAACACTTTCTTTAGAGTCTTGAAGTATCTTCTTCAACTTTGTCGCCTTTTGTAGCTTGCTCTGCCAAAAAACAAAAAAAAACGATTACAACACATTGGATTTTTTTTAATAACATGCTAAACAAGCCAACAAGATTGCAAAACATGGACTCACATTTTGCACGAGTCTTTCAACTACAGCTTGAAGGTAACTTCGAAACTTGGCTCTGAGCATCACTGTCACCTCAGAAAGACGATCACCAGGAGCTTCGTTCCCACCATCAGGAATGCATGAAGACCATGCTTTAAACTGAGGCTCAATATTAGGCCTTAGAACATCAAGCATTCTCTTCATAGTGTTTAGTAGAATGCCCAGCTGCACCAGCAGACAAAGAAAATATTCAGCAAAACAAACCAAATCTTCCTTAATTTTAGGAAAAAAGTGTTGGACTCACCTCGTCCGGGACTACATATGCAACCTCAGATCTTTTGGTTAGCTTTTGGACATACTTGAAGCTTAACATTTTAGGAGCCAAGTTTTCGTTTAGACGTGATAAGACATCTGCATACAGCTTCTCCAGAGCTTCCACAATTGCTTTTTCAACATCAGCAATGGCCTAAACAAACATAATTTATGTTGTACTGCTTATAACATGCAACAAGAGAAATAATCTCAAAAGGAATCATCAAGAAACCGCTATAAACTTACACTCTCCAGAACAAAGATATATTCCGGCCATCTAGAAATGATAAATTTATAGTCTTGAATTGTCTCGTTCAGCTTGGTGTACATTTCATCAACAAATGGTGTTGTTGAATGTTGTGTCTTGACTCCGCACAATTTTACCTGATTAAATCACTGTGTCAAGCCTCAAAGCTATTTGTAATTTACCAATGTGAAAAATCTCAGTTTGAATTTAGAATTCAAGAAAACCACAAAGAGAAGCCATATCTATATACATACTTTATCAAGTTTGCATGATTCAAGTAGGGAAAGGCGTCTATCTTGGATCCAAATCAAAATATATTGGTGGAACAACTTTTTTGCATCAACACCGCCTTGGATATGACTGTAAAAAATGAAACATTACACCAGTGTCAACAACAACAGTTGAAAACAAGACAAAAAATAAAAAAATCAAATAATCTAAACGACCTACCCAATGTTCCAGCTGGAAAGATCACGTTGAAAGTCTGAAGTTGCAACCACAAGCTCTGCAACTGCTGGTGAAGGACCAGAAGGTGGACATGCAACAAGAAATGTTCGAAGTCTGTTGCAGAGATCAGTGCTATATATGGATGCTGACAGGTTTGGAAGGTCAAGAAAGCTGCATATAAAAATATAAGGGCAATCAAACACAAGTAGGAAGATGCTACAAGAACAAGACGCTTTCATATCAATTATTTGGAAACTAGTTGAATAAGATTTTTTTTACATTCTGCATACTAACCTGGGAAGTATATCTTGATTGTAGATCTCAACATCACTATAAATCTCATTCTTTACATTTTTGCAGACCATAGTCATTTTCTGGTAAGCAGCCAATACTGAAGAAGGATCCCAAAAATTGGGATCATTTTTATTTGTAACAAACTCATCTGTCTCACCAATGTGCCTTCTAGATCTATTCTTTGCTCCTACCTATAAAAAAAAAGCATTAATGCAAAATGTGAAAAATTAATAAAGAGTAAAAGTAAGGCAACTGTGAGGGGTGTATGCTTTACCTGGAAGTAATGACAAAGATTAGTCTGATCCTCTGGAGACATAATTTCATGCAGAAGCATGTAAAGTTTAACAGCAGGAGCTAGTGCTGGCGGTGTAACACCTGTTGCAGAACTCATTACATCACTCATTCCAGAGAAAGAAGACTCATCAAGAGATTTGTAGTTCTTGAAGACTAGCTTCAGAATCTTCTTGATTTGGTCTTTGATCTCATTTAGAATCCGATTCTGTTGAAAAAAATAGAGTCATAAGTAGTTCAGAAGCAGAAAACGGCAAAGAGAAAATAATAGGATTGCGGATCTACCTCTTGATGACTCAAGGGGGTCTTCCCATTTCCTTTTTTCATGATGATAGGTGTTAGCAAGTCATGCACCAAATGGAGACAGTCTGAAGTTGGTGTAGCGACATCCATCACATAGGACAAGTATCTTAAAGCAACAAAATAATATAGAGAAAACAGAGTTATAGCATATCCCTCAAATGACCAGAAAGAAAAATAGAAAGTGAGTAAGGAGGCATACCTGAGTTTGGTGTAGACATCTGAAATCCCATAGTAGGAGGCAAATTCTTCCAAAAGCCATTTCCATGAACCATCTAACAACAAGTTTCTTTGCTGAAACCGCTGCGTTTTCAAGGCCGCTTCCAGGACTATGTCATATGCGACTGTTTCCGCAACAGGACCACACTATAGGAAGATAAAACAGAACACATCAACACAACAAATCTTCTGAGCACTATACAATCAATGAGTTTTATATATGTGTTCAGACACATACTTTGCAGAGGAATAGAGGATACATATACTTCAAACAGAGGATAGATTTTCAATAATATGAGGAACGTTTCACTTAATAAACATAGAGAGGAGCTGACTGTACGTGCATAAGCTCTTAGAAAACCATGAAGCTCCCATCTTGTAATTAAATTAACAACTATTATAAAAACGAGTTTTTTCTGATTAAAATTATCTAGTTATACTATCAACAAGCTAAAAGTTGCTCAAGTAAATGGACTGCTGGAGTGTCTATCAGTCTACTACAGAGAGATACCAATCCACTTACAGGTAGTTAAAAAAAAAGTATCATCAAATATACCAAATATAATGAGAGAGAGAGAGAGAGAGGTAGCTAACACACCTTCAAATGGCTATTATCATCAAAACTTGCTGAAAAGTCAATATAGAGCTGGACTTTTCCCACAAGTTGATGTTCTGGCTCACGAAATACAGACCACCACCGAAGTTTCTCAGCCTGTATGGGATTATTCATTATAAGCATTTGAAACGTGCTAACAAATGGAAAAAGGTAACTCACCGAAACTTCAGAAACATTAGCTAGCTGGACAAGCACACGCCCAAATTCATTCCCATTTGATTCAAGTATTACAACAATCAGATCATCTCCATAACTATCAGGAAAGCTGTTGAAATTTCATGTTCTTTGTCAGACGCAACATATATATATGGCAAGTTACCCGGAATGTATTGGAGAGAGGGGAAAGAAAGTCACATACAAAACATGGCTTTCACCGGATCCGGGTTGCATGATAATGGCATCATCTTCATTTAAGCTTTTCAATCTTAACCTACACGAGTATGTTTCTGAATAACAGAATCAAACGGATTAACCGATATTAATAAAACCTATCACACACAAAAAAACATAAAGCAGTGAAATGGGGAAACATGGAACTATACAATTTCCACAGATAGTGATATATATATATATGGCATATGCTAAGTAAAGTCCCAACTTTCACATACCTTTAACAACATCATAAGACGTTGAACTATTACGAACATGGTTCTTCTTTCGAGACCACCATCTAGAAGATATACATGTTGAGATTTTGTAAAACTTAACCCGTAGTTTCTCGAACGGAGACTTTAAAGATGATATACTACCACCACCCTTTGGAGCATCCGAAACTGTTTTAACACGTTGTACTGCAGAAGTAGACAATTTCATTTATTTCTTAATTGGTTATTAGGATGGCAGCCAAATAAGCAGATGGAACATGGAATTAAAAGTTTTACCTTGCACCATCATTTTACCAATGTTTTTCTTGCCGTTTGGTATAACTCCCTCGTGAGGAGCTTGTGAAGATTGCTTCACCAGCATTTCCTCCTCCGATTGCAAAAGGAGTTGTTTCAACCTGTTATTCAGTTTAAACCCCAAGAAAAATTAAATAATTACTTATGAGGCATGTGGATGAAGGAATATAAAGTATATACAAGTCAGTAAAGAAACTCTCACCCGAAGGTTTCTCGTAGAAGAGCGCATTCGTTTTCAAGAAACATGGGAGCCTCTGTGCAACCCTTTGCCCACGCATGAAGACAAAGTCGCACACATGCATCATAGGAAACCATAGCATGCCATGGGCCACGAGCACTGTATACCAAGGCACATAAAAATAGGCGGCAGTGTTTAAAATGAATCCCAACTTACTTACAAAAGTGATTGAAGAAAGCAGTGAACAATGTGATCAGATCCGAATTACCTTGCATGAAAAGTTGGCAGCCGAACTGGATGTTGATGAGATAGCCCCTCAGAAGCAGCACTAGGTCTACAGAAACATAAGAAAATAAAATGAGTTACTAGACTCATAGTCCATTTTATATAAATAGCAAAATAAAAAAAAATACTTCCTCTGTTTTAATATAAATGTCATTTTAAAATTGTACATACGGATTAAGAAAACAATTTTTTTTTACTATATAAAAACACAATAACGTTAACCATTTTTAACCAATAGAAAAATAGATCACAAAATAAAATTATTAAATTTTGTATTGAAAACCGAAAACCACATTTATTTTGTAACGAATTTTTTTTCTTTATAACGATATTTAATATAAAACGGAGGAAGTAATACCTAGTAAAATGTATTACACAATCTTTTGTTTTGCCTTCTGAAACTTGAACACCTGACGCTGCTGGTTTAATTTCTCCGGATTCTTCTGCTGCCCCTGAAAATGGAGGGGCACTCGGAATATCACTTACTTCTCCAGAAGAAAATTTGCTATCAAGCTCCTGCAATATGATTATGAGAAAATCAATAAAGAAAACAAGACACCATCCTTGTTGTTCCAGCATTATACAAGTAAAACAGAATCAACACAAGCAATTGTTCTCTTATATACCATCAGCTAAAACACAAGCTCTAATAAGATCATATCCACCACTATATTGTCTTCCAAAAGTAGAGGAAGCCTCTACAATAGAAAAAGAAAATGCCGGGAAAATATAGAAGAACACTATTTTTTTTTTCTATATCTATCATTTTTTATTATTAAAAATCATCAATCACAGATTTAAACCAAAAAAAACCTTCTCGCTCAGCTACGAGAATCTCTCCGGAGAGGCTCACCGCGGAGTAAGTATAATAAGACGAGTTTCTTCCGTAACTGCGACCGACTTTACTGGACAGTACTCTACTGTTCGCAAGAGACGAATCCAGGGAGAAGTCGTCGTCGGAAGAGGAACTAGTGACGCCAGCATCGGTCACTAAGGCTCTGGTGAGAGGTACAGAAGCTGAGGATGATACGTTGTTGCCGTTACGGACGTTGGGAGCAGACGAATTCAATACTCTGCTGGAGATCATGTTGGTGTGAGTTGCTGAATTGAGAAAACGAAGTGTTGCTTGAGACGAAGGAAGCTTAACCACAAAGCTTTCACGGAGGAGGAAGGGAGGGAGAGAGAGACGTTCGAATTCGTTGCAGTTAATATTATCTTTTTTTGTTTGATCTTTTATTTATTTGTCTTAGGAATCGTTTTGTTCTCAAAGTCAAGTCTTGTTAGTTTTTTTTTTAAATTATCTATATGCCTCCGAAAGTCAATAAAAACAAATTAGATTTCATAAAAATGGTAAATAATAATTACATCCTTATCTATAAATTAATTATTATTTATTAAATATATATATATATATACATAAATATTTGAAATTAATAAAATAATGAGGAATTTTTTTTTGTTTGTTTTCTCAAATTTTTATTTTTTATTTTTAGAAATGATTTTCTTTTAAAACATTTTTCTAAACACGTATAATATCCTTCTCATTTTGTTATTTCTTTTTAAAAAAATTCACGTCTACATTCATAAACGTTAAATAGATTTCTTAAATGTAAGTATATTTAGAAAAATATTCTTAAATATGCATGACATCTTTCTAAATTTAATTAACATAAATATTGTTTAATATATAAAATCTTTTAAAAAACGAATATATATCTAAATGTGCATGATATTTCTTATAAAATTAAAAGATCAAATTCAAATAAGTCTTCTGGAAACTTTGGAAGATGCTATATATATTTCTTGGTACATCTTTGTAAAAGTACATATATATCTAGTTTAGTAAGGTATTCATAAATATATATATTCATGAACTCTATCATAAATACACATTTAAAAATGTATCTTTCCTAACACATTTATGAACATTTTTCTAAATTTTATGAAAAAATTATATATATATTTGTAAATATTTTCCTAAATTATAAGAAATTATTGTACTTATGCAATAAAATTTAATAAATGCAAATTAAAGAAGATATCATCGACGTTCAATAATTTTAAAATATATTTTTAAATGTGCATAATATTTTTTTATAAAATTAAAGTATCAAATTCAAATATGTCTTCTGGAAACTTTGGAAGATGCTACATATATTTCTTGGAATATCTTTGTAAAAATACATATAATTCTAGTTTAATAAGGTATTCAGAAATATATATATATATATATATATATATATATATATATTCATGAAATCTATCATAAATACACATTTAAAAGATATATTTCCTAACACATTTATGAACATTTTTATAAATTTTATGAAATGTTATATATATTTATAAATATTTTTCTAAATCATAAGAAATATTATACTTATTCAAGAAAAAAAAATAATAAATGAATATTAGAGAAGATATCATCGACGTTCAATAATGTCTTTCTAAACTTTTAAAAGGAAAACGGTTTAAAAAAAAATCAAATAATTAAGGTTTCAGAAAAAAAAACTTTGAATCTTTTGAAATTATTTATTTATTTTTATGTATCTGGATAAAAAGTATAATTGAATATATAATTTTCATTTTAATTAAACTTAATTTGATCATTTTTGCAAGCTTGAGAACAATAACTTGTTTTGGGTTATTTGGAACTTTTTCTCTACTTTTAATCTTCAAAAATTTGGAGTAAATGACTTAAAATTGAGTATTAATGTTTTAGAATCGAACAAATTTTTAAAATCTAAGATAGTTTAAGTTGGTGAATTCAAAAGTCTATTCAGCATTTTTTTACTTTGATTTCAATCATTTTAAATCTTATAAAAACTTATAAAATTGAATAATAGTAGATTTTGAACAATAAATTCAAATCATTCATTAAATAACACTAAATTTCAAATAAATTTTCTAACAACCACATTCAATAACAATAGATTTTTAAAATAGAATTTATAATCATCTTTTTGAATAACCGTATACTGTATCTATACTATTAAAAGGGAAGTACAAATAGTACTTAACCTTATGTTTCCTCAAAAATTACCATCCCATACCACTAGAATAATACTCTATCGTTTGCTGTTAATTATTTAACTGTCTAACATAAAACACGCATGTTTGTTGTTCTTACTAAACCATATAATAATTACTAAACCAATACATGACTAAACCACTAAATAAATTTGATGTTGATTGATACTAAACCATATAATAATTACTAAACCAGTACATGACTAAACCACTAAACAAATTTGATGTCGATTGATACAATAGAGATAAACCAGTACTAAACTATAGCATTACTAAACCATCTAAATAAAATTGATGTTCGACAGATACAATAACCATAATTGCATAATATTACTAAAACATCGTATGCAATTGGGGTAACAATGTTTTGTTTTTAAAAATCTCAGTATAAACTTTGAACTTTATATGCAACTTTAAATACCAATATTCATAGTATAATTTAATAAAATACACAAATTTACTTAAAACTCTAATATTTTACTATAATATGTATTTTTACCAAGTAAAATAAATAAAAACACAATAAAAAATATAATATTTATAAATGGACGATAAACACACTGAACAAAAAACACTAATGTCAAAACTCAATAAAATTTGTTATAGAAGAACATAAACAAATACGTTTATGGTATTATTAAAAATAAAAAACATATAATTATGAAAAACAAACATCTGTGCGGATGCGCGGATCAAACAAATAAGAGATATCCCTTAGTTTTCCTCAAAAAATACAATTTTATACCACTAAAATACTGTAGTTTTACTCTTTTTTAAAACAAAACCTGTATTTAATATTTATGGGTTTAATCCATTAAATATAGTCAAAGTCTAATACATATATAATCTAATGAAAACAAAATTTGAACATAGTAGCTAAGTTTTGGCCGATTTTAATTATAAATTCATAACCAAATAATCTAAACTAATAACTTCAATTAAATATCTTTTCATTTTTAGTATTTTTTTTTAAATTTTGTTTCATTATTCTTACTTTTTGTCTAAATAATATAGTTGTATTTAAAAATTTCAATAACAATTTTGAATTTTATATAAAAAATCTCTGACATTTTATCATTTATTTTACCAAATAAACTAAATAAATTAAAATACAATAAAAGAAAAACACAATCTCATTGTTTATAAATAACACTAATCATATTGAACAATACATATCAATGTCAGTCATGAATAATATATGAATCTATAACGTAAGAGGGATAAGTAATTAAATTTATCGTATTTTCAAAAGTTTAAAATATATGATTATGAAGAACAAACACCCGCGCGTCAGTTATACTTAAATTAAACCAGTGATTTTTTATGGAATATAGTCTTGGGCTTAGTTTTGTTTTTTGAACCAATTATATAGTTTGGTTTTTGGGCTTCGTATTAAGAAAAAAACTCCAAAAACATTGAATAAACTTTTCACCTTAAAAGATAAAAAAAAAATCAATTATTATTTTCAGACACAAAAGATATTTAATATTTTTAACAAAACAAAATTATCTATTATTAATCATTTATTTAAATCATGTACTTTAAAACATGTTAATATATTTTTTTTATTTTAAACAACAATCACTTTTTTGATAAATTTCAATGGTAACTTTTAAATAATTAATTTTTTATTTTTATTAAATAATTTACTGATTAAAAAAAATGTAAAGCAAAACCAAAAACCAAATCTAAAAACTAAACTCCAAAACCAAAAGCTGAAAACACATGTTATATTTTTTGGCTTTGTTTATTTACAAAATAAACTATTTCAATTTTTTTTAAAAAAAAGTTTGTTATCATCTTTTCAGTTTTAAATTAGATGTTCGATTATTTGAGATTTGTTTGTTGGTAATATTAGTTCAAACTAACTCAACGGGTTTAAAAAATAAAAACCCAAACCAAAAACTGAAAATGAAAAGTAGAACTTAAAAACTAAAAACCAAAAACCAAAATCTAAATATAAAAAACTGAAACTAAAAACTAATGAAAAACAATCATCACCACAAATTTTGGTGAACTGATTTTATATCAAAATATTCTTTAAATTAAGATAAAACTCAATTATATAAATTTTTAATTATAAAAAATTTCCGCGCTTTTCAAGCGCGGGTCAAAATCTAGTTTAGATTTAAACTCCATTACAATGTAATAACACGAATTCAAATTTGAGAATGGGATTTGCTAAGCAACCCGGGTTCGAAGGCACCCCACTACATCTTATCTTGTGGCCACGCGGATATGGGCCTATCTTACGGCCCATTTGAATACCCGGAGTGAGGGTCCATCCGTGGGCTGCACCACCCCTTTGGGGATTAGTCTAGGCCTCTCCATGGGCCTGGGATACCCCCAAGGTTAAAAAAAAAAGAAAAAAAAAAAAATTTGAGAATGGGGGTAAAGAAGAAAGAGAATCCATTTGGTAAGACAATCGAACGGTGTCATTTCGTGCTTGGTGGGAGCTGGGAGCGTTGCGGGTAGTGGTGACGTGGAAAAGCGATTACTTTTTATTAGCAGTGGAAGTATACAAAGAAATAAACAATCTTTAACTACCATTAGACTACCAAAACTTTTGGTGAAAGAAATTATTTTCAAAAGAAAAATGATTGATCAGCAATATCTTTATGCAAAAAGTGGTTTTCAAAAATGAGAAAAGGAAATGTAACGTTAAATTTTTATGTGTTGTTATGTTAGCTGCAAACTAGATGATGGTGGGGACAACAAATCGACTTGTGTCTTGTTTTCTTACGGAAGATGCTACAAACATGAAACGTTTCACTTTGCTTGAGTTGCAATACTCATACCATCTAACCACATGGAGGAGAGTTATTGAGCATCCCTGACACTGACTTATCTAACTCATTGCTCACTTGAGAAGTTGCTTACATTTTTGTTTAGTTTTCTTATAAAGGATGCAACGAAAGAACATCTAGAAAAAGTGTTGAGATCTAAAACAAGTACATAAGTGTTTCCTGCTCTTATTGCAATCTTTTTTCTTTATTTCAAAATCAGACGTGGCAGAATTAAATAAGGAAAAGAACAGAACAGCAAAAGACTGAGACGTCTCTGTGCGTTTGAGAAAAATGTAAAGGTTTTATTATGCGTACATGTCATCCACATTGCACTCTCCCAAGTACACTTTAACACTCCTTGGCGACCCGCAGCTTCCTTCAGCTATCAAAACTCTGTCGTTTGCAGACATGTGAGCTATGATCTTATAGATCATCTCGATCTGCCAAAATTCAAAAAACATACAAACTTCTTGATATGTCCATGTCAAAAGTTACAAAAAGACAAAGGATTTTGAACGTTACTTCCTCAGGAGCATGGCAACGATCAGCTATCTCGTCCAGTGTCAATGGCTCTACTGGATCTTTACAACTGCAGGTACAGAAACAAAAACAAAAAAGGATTAGCATCTAAAATGGTCTCTCCTGCTGAAGAAAAACCACACATGGTCTGGTCTGATTCTTACCTGGCTTCATTAAGAACTGACAATACACGCTTTTGCAGTGCTAGAACCTCAGCTGCTGCCTTCTTACCGGCTTCCACACCTGTGAACTCATTGTTTGTTTTGTATTCAGTCAACAAATTACACAAAACATAAGTTTTTTAGATTTGGTCAGAATATATCTATACCAGGTTGGTGGTAAGCATTAATATTGACTAGTGAGGCATATAATCCCACCGCTCTTTCATAAAGAGCAATAATAGCCCCAACAGATCTTGGTGTCACTTCCTCAATGGTAACACTAATGGACTCTCTACCATTTGCATATAAAGCAGATCTAGTCCCCTGCATAAAAACATAACCAGCTCATCAGAGGAGACGAATATCCAAATACAGTGTAATATTTTTCTTAAAAATCAGACCTGAAGCATCCCAAAGAGGTAGTCTCCACAAGTGACACCTGGCTCAAGCTCCCAATCATGACCTGGAGGTCTGTCTCTTAGCACTTCTATGAAGGTTGCAAAGAAGTTGTGCACACCCTCCCTCAATTGTTGAATGTAGCTATAATGAAATTCAACATAAAGAGATCCATTAATGCTTTGTCTCGAATAGTAAAACTATATGATTAAAGGAAACTCACGCGTGCTGATCTGTGCTCCCTTTGTTTCCATATACAGTTAACCCTTGATTAACCTGAAAATTCAAATCACCCCTCCTTGGAATCACACTTCTAATAAAAAGGTTGAGAAAATAATGCACATGTTTCAGTTCTTTCAACTCAATCATGCGCACAAGTGACTAAGTAAGTAATCAAAATCTTCTGTTTTCAATAATATACAGATCTCAGGACATTTGATGTTCATGAACTCTCATTTAGGAAGAAAGAGAATGCTTACAGTGTTACCGTCAAGATCAAACTCTTTTCCTAGTGATTCCATGACCAATTGCTGCAGATACCGGCTAAACAACAATAAGCTATCCTTGTAAGGAAGGATAACCATATCCTGTAAGAGAAAGTGGATACAAAGGTCAAAAAAAAAAAAGCTCAATCTCCTAGCTAGTCTTAGACACACTTCAAGAAGTTGAAGAAGATTACTTTGGAACCAACGCCATCCGAGGCCCAGTACCAACACATTGCTAAGAGCGCCGCAGGGTTATTCTTGAGCTGAAATAAAATTTAGGCAAGTCATGATAGTCTATCTAAAGTAAATATGAATCAGAAAACTCAACAATGTGATATATGTTCCTTCTGTGATGAGCCTTTAGAATCAAGAAACCACATCTTCTTTGAGTGCAGATATTCGGCTGAAGTTTGGGAAAACTTGGTAAAAGGTGTTATGGAGGATGATTTCACAAGTAAATGGTCTGAAGTTGTTTCTATGATCTCCTCTGGTCAGAATACAATTAAGACATTTACTTTGAAGTATGTGTTCCAAGCTACAATTCATGGATTGTGGATGGAGAGAAATGACAGGAGGCATGGAGAGAATTTCATTCCATCGTGTATGATGATCAAAATGGTGGATAGATTGGTTCGAAACAGGTTCCTTTCTCTTCAAAGAGTGGGCGATAATCGGTGGGAAGGAGGGTTGCAATTCTGGTTCTCGACAAGACCAGGATTTGGAGTTTAAGTTTTTTTGATTTTTGTAAAGTCTAAGTTGAAGAGTAGTTTCTAAAACTTTTCTGATGTAAGAAAAGCTGCATTGTACAATGTCCCACAGGGTTTTTTTGAATAAGAATTTAAAATTCATTCAAAAAAAAAAAAAAAAAAAAAAGTACTCTGCTAAGACTTACAGAAGTTGTTCTAGTAGCCTCGTCCATTATTGCAGCACCAGCAAGCATCTCTCTAATATCAATCCCCTATATGCAATGACATTGCATTAATTACACATAAAAGCAAATAATGATCTTACTAAGTAACAAAGCATTATGTATCAGTACTTACCTGTAGTGCTGCTGGAAGGAGACCAACAGCAGACATAACAGATGTTCTTCCACCCACCCAGTCGTACATAGGAAACCTAGCTAACCAACCTTCAATTCTCGCTGTGTTGTCCAGCAACGAGTTTTCTTGTGTTATTGCAACACCCTGCATTACGCATAAGCTAAATCATATGCAATACATCTAAAGGTCTCTAATGATCCATGGGAAGCCAGTTTTTTATTAATGAGACAAAACACACTTGTCTCAGATATTTTCCAACCATGTTGGCAGAAAAACGAAAAGCGGAAACAAAAACCTGAGATCAAAACCTGTTTTGCGAAGTTCAGACCAGCGTCACGGAAGGCTTTCTGTACTTCCAATAGTCCATTTCTAGTTTCAGGAGTACCTCCACTCTAGTTAACACATAAGAAAACTTAGTCATGCACATGCTATCCAAAGCATCATATAAAACAGACAGTGAACACAAACTGAATAAAAGTACAAACCTTTGAGATGACAATAACTAAAGTTGAGGCAAGCTCTTCCCCAAGCTGTGCAATCTGATGATCTATTCCAGCAGGATCAGTGTTGTCAATGAATCTTATCTATCAATTGCCAAAGTGAAAGCAAAAAAAGTCTTAAAGAGCAATGGAGAATAAAAGAAGAAAGCTTTCAATATAGTACCCAATAAAGTTTGAATCTTTCAATCAGAAAAGTGTTCAAATATACCTTCAAAGGAGGATTATCAGGAGCCAAGGCCTCAGCAACAAACTGAGGACCAAGAGCAGAACCACCAATCCCTACAGAAAGAATCTGAGTAAAACGACCAGTAGGAGAAGACGGTGGCTTTATCTGCAAATGCACAAAACTAATTATAAAATCACAAATCCTCAAAAAAAAAAGGTTACATCATCAATCAAAAAAAAAAAAAAACCTAACCTTGCCAGAGATGATGTCATCAGAAAAAGAACAGATGGAATCAAGAGTGTTCTCAATCAATGTCTTCAAAGTAGGCTTTGGGACAAGACTAGAGTTCCTAAGCCAGTAATGACCAACCATCCTCCCTTCATCTGGATTCGCTATTGACCCCTTTTCAAGCTCATCCATAGCCTTGAACGCTGATTTGAACCTTTCCTCCATTTCGACGACAAACTCATCGGTGAATCCGACACGGCTGACATCGAGATATAATCCGAGATCCTTCTGCTGATAGAGCCAATCTAGGTATCGTTTCCAGAGCGCATCGGGATCCTTGATAAGCTCTTTCTTGGCGTCTGTGTGAGAAATGTCACGCGCGAGGGAGTGAGGGGTGGAGAGAGTCAACGGTAGGAGGGTTGGTTTGGAGGTGTGTGGGAAAGAGAAGGAGTCTCCTCTTGTCGGTGGCGCCGAGAATGCTTTAACGGAGAGGGTTTTGGTTGGTTTGAGAGAAGGAGAAGAAGAGAAGAGGCCTGAGAGAGAGGCCATTCTTTGGAAGACAGCGATGTTTACGAGGGAGAAGAGTGAGATTGGGTTTTTATTCAGACAGGGTATGTTATGTTACTTATGTATCTTTTTGTGTGTGTGTGTGTGTTTGTGACTCTTTTGATATTTGGGGGAACCAATGAACAGAGATGAGTTGGGAAAGAGTTTTGTCTTTTGGTGGAAGTGAACGGTTCTGCTTAGATTACGATTTTATCACTCTTATGAATATACCATTGCTCTAATATCTACCTTTTGGCATCATATTCTATTTTGACATATGGCCCACCATATTCGAATATTTGTAATAACAAAAGCTTTGAAGTGATGGTATTAGGTAGACAAATGATTTGTGATTTTCTATTAGGTATTGGTATTTTTTTTTGTAATGAATGTGACCTATATGATAGGTTAGTAGAGTCAAACTCCATTTGTAGAGTCAAGCTCTCAGGAAAACTTTTGCATAGTACATGTTAGGGTTGGGCATTTTTCCGGTTAAATTTGGTTAGATTCGTTATTCGATCTGAAAATTTCAGATATCCGTCAACTTTCAAATCAAAGCAAATACTAAAAATCAATATCTATTAAAATCGAAGAAAATCGAAGAAAATCACAAATATTAATTTTGGAAAGCGGATATCCGATCCGATCCTGAAATATATAAATATATGTATATCTTGATTATATTTAAAATTTTAAATGTATAAAATTATATAATTATCATTCTAGCACATGATTTTGAACAATTATATTCACACTATTACTTATAGTAAAGTATTACATAAAAAATTTTTTATCACAAACTATATTTTTTTTCTTAAATTTTTTGTTATTATAATTGTAACTTAAACTTAAAAAATTACAAATAAATTCACTAGTTCTTTAATTTTAATTTTATATACCAAACAAAAAATATTTTTGCAAAGCAAAATTGTATCAAAATTTTAAAATTATTTGTATTAATCAAAATAGACGAGATATCCGTAAATATCTATTTATTTTCCGGATGTCCGTTTTTCCGGATATCCGTATTTTTCGAAACAAAGCAAATACCAAAATTAGATATCCATAACATTCGAAGCAAATCACAAATACTTTGAAAAATCCGGATATCTGATCCGTGCCTATCCCTAGTATATATAAAACCGTTAGTCTCCAACTATGCTACAATGTCAAGAAGCATTAGCTTCAGGCCACATCTAAATATTTTGTTTCAAAGATCAATTATAGTTTCTATCTTAGCGTTGTCATGTTTATTAGCCTAGTTAGAAAATATAATCTGTCATTTAAAGTGTTTGGTCGATTAATGCGTATAAGACATATAATTACATTTTGGAGACTTTTCTTTGTTTTCCTTTTGGTTTACACAGAGTATATATACTTAAGTGCATATACTTTCAACCTATCTTGTAGACATATTATTATAGTTGACATACATATATATGTATGGGTCGGTGTGATTTTATTGCTTTTCTACCATAAAATTTAAATCTTTACAAAAAAATCAACAATATCTAATTTGTTAGCACCAGCCACCAGGAATGAAATCGGCCTCTTCATACTTCAAAAGAAAGTCACGGTCCTGATCATTACATCAACTCGGATCATGTAATAAAACATACATCAACACATAATATATTCAAATTTCATACATCAACTAACAAAATCGACTTTAACATACATTAACCAATATTTAGTTAATCAAATATAACAAAATTTGAGTTGTCTGTCATATATTGATTATGTATTTTATATTTTAAATAATTAATAATTAATAAAAAATATATAAAATAAGGTGAAGGAGACTCAAACCCGGGTTCTGTACATTGTTACAATGGTTTCATTAGCCATTGTGCCAAACATAGTTTATTGAATGTATTCTCTATTTTTTACTATTATATGTATTTTGTCAAATGTTTCCATCATTTTTTTTTCATTTTTGTCTCGTCATCATTCAAATAAACTGAAAATAAAATAAATTTTAACAGTTTTAAAATTTGAATTTTTTCTAATTTCTTTAATCAATTTTTTTATTTTTCTTTTGAAATTCAAAACTTGTTTTGAAACTATTTTTAAAATTTTAATATTATTTTTTTAAACACAATAATAATCAATAATTAAATTACATACAGTTGAATTTTGTTAGTTAATATATGAAATTTGAATATATTAGGTTCGAAACTTGTATTTGGATATAGGTTCGAAAGTATTTGTCAAACCTATATCCATTAATCATTTAGTGAGCTGTATATTGTATTCCAAATTGACTTACGAAGCATTCTAAATAGTTTAAGTTGATAGATTTTTAACATGCACGCATATATATTATTAAGTTTCACATATTTTTTCCTTTATTCGGTACATATGAACAGACCATAAGTTACAACAAGCATAAACACAACAATGTGCACTCCCTAAGTCCCAAGTGCCAACTTTTTCAAGTAATTTCTTATTCAAATAAATATGCAAACATATCATGCATTCACATGCTGATCATCTCAGGCCACAATCGGGTACACTGGTGATTCTGCAATACCTGCAATTCAACAACGAATCAACAAAAGATAGATCATCTGAGAATCTCTATCTCTGAAACGTTCTATCTCTGAATCGTTCTTCTACCGGTTATATCCAAAATAAGGAATATATATATATATAGCTTTAACTGATAATTAATGGTTTTATGGTTTCATGAAAGATAACTTACCGCACAAGTTATTTCCCCTCTCCATCCTGAAGAAACCTTCTTCGCCCCAACCTTCTCCCCATGAGTTCTTTATATTCCAATAGTCGACACCCTCTTCACTTCCATAACCAACCGCCAAACCATATTGTCTGACGCCCTAATACCACATTTAGAAACAACTAACTGAAAACTTACTGTATAATAAGTTAATGATTTTACTTGCAACAGAGTGTAAGAAAGTCTCACTACAACATTTTCACAGGGTTCGCTACTAGTGTAGACTCCGCTCTGGTAATGCTGGAGTGTATCCAAAACGCCGAATGATACGCTAACTGGCCCAGTGGATCCAACCGCTTGCTTAAGTTCATCTTCAGCACCCTGTTGTTATTATTGTTTCAGTCCTCATTACAGAGTACCTGAATGTATGTTTCACAAGTGGGTGTGAAAACCAAAATCCGTATAAGATGCTTACCGAAGGGATAGGGACATATCCTGTGACATTTACAACAGAGTTGTAGTAACTTCTGCAGCCTCCCTTGACACCTAGGTAAGGATACTGTGTCTCATTGTTGATTCCGTTGGATTTGATGTAATCAAAGGCTTCCGTGGTTTGTTGATATTGAGAGTAAGTACAATCTACCAGCTGTTGCTCAGAGAGATCATAGGATCCCTTACCATGTTTAATATGGTAAGCTGACTCAACAGCTCCAATTGCGCTGCAGTACCAGAACCGACCATATGACAAACAACCTTAAATTTTTGATCTTACATCAATAGATGGGGAAAATGGGCATTTAATTCCCCAAGTATTTGAAATCGGCAATTTTAATATTCAAGTATTGCTCGCGCAGAATTATTCCCCAACTAATAGTTGACTGCACGAAATTAGGAACGAAATAGTCAACCGTTAACTGATTAACGGAAAGATAACGGTTTCCATCAACTTTTAAACGGTTGACTATTTCGTTCCTAATTTCATACAGTCAACTATTAGTTGGGGAATAATTTTGCGCAAGAAATACTTGAGTATTTAATTTGCCGATTTGAAAATACTTGAGTAATTAAAAAATCAATACTTTTTTAAAAAAATATATAATTTAAAAGATTTTCAAGTCAGATACAATAAATATTCGAGATTTTTACTTTTTGAAAGAGATTTTTGAGCTTTTATAATAACATGTACAATAATAAAAATAGTTATAGTTGCAGGTTATTGTTGATGTACTTCATGTTTATAAAATCACATATCGATGAATTCATATCATTTACGGAATCATATGTTGTAAATTAGATCTTTACTTTATACTAGGGATGGCAAAAAATATCGAACCGAATGAAACCGAACCAACTGAACCGAAATCGCTCCAAACCAAACTAAACCGAGTTAAACCGAACCGAGAAAACAATGTGCTTTTGTTATTATTTGAAAACTAAAGTCTCTATTAACATTATACAATATACTTAAATCCTAACACTAACGATTAACTTTATTAACGTTTTCTTTTTTTTTTTAAAGCTATTTACTTTAGTTAACTTTGGTTTGATTGTGTTCTTATAAAAAATGATGATTTTCAGATTTCTTTTTCAGTTTTATATTATAATTAATTTACATAAAATATGATTTTTATTAAAATAACTAAACTAAAGGAAAACAATTAAACCAAACTGAAACTGATCCAAACCAAACTAATTATGGTTTACTTCAGATGAAAAATTTCGAGAATTGTATTAACCAATCCGAACCAAACCGAACCGAACCGAAAATAACCAAAGTTTCTACTCATACCTTAAACAATCATATGTAGTTACCTCTACTTTAGACTATCATATATTGTACATCATCAATGCAATGCAATGCAACGCAATGCTTTATCTTATTTTATTTTCTTTTGTAAAACTCCAAAATCCATTTTAAGTAAAAGGTATGTTGTATATTTGTTCCATTGTATATTTGTTCGAATTGAGAATCTTTTTAATTTGAAATTATTTTAAAAAAATAATCTTAAGTTATTTTATAAACATGAAATACATCAACAATAAACATCAACTATAATTATTTTTATTATTGTACATGTCATTGTAAAAACTCAAAAATCTCTTTCAAAAAGTAAAAATCTCGAATATTGATTGTATATGACTTGATAATCTTTTAAATTATATTTTTTTTTTAAAAAAATATTGATTTTTTAAATTCCTCAAGTATTTTCAAATCGGCAAATTAAATACTCAAGTATTTCTTGCGCGGAATTATTCCCCAACTAATAGTTGACTGTATGAAATTTAGGAACGAAATAGTCAACCGTTAAAAAGTTGACGGAAACCGTTATCTTTCCGTTAACTAGTTAACAGTTGACTATTTCGTTCCTAATTTCGTGCAGTCAACTATTAGTTGGGGAATAATTCTGCGCGAGCAATACTTGAGTATTAAAACTGCCGATTTCAAATACTTGGAGAATTAAATGTGCATTTTCCCTCAATAGATGCTACAAAATATCAGTATCGTAATCATTGGTTTACCTGAATGCCCAAGATGCTCCAGGTAATGCTCCTTGATTTTTGACCGGGCTAACAACACCGTATTCTCTCCAGTCTCTCTGCAGCCACACAATTTAGAGACAAAAAAAAATCAAATATAAAAAGGTTATTCATGTAGCTAAACATGTATTTCTCAAAATTGGAAAAACAGGACGGATGGTTCAGTACAGCACTAGGAGCAGAGGTTTGCAAAAGAGCTCTGCCTGTGAGTCTACGGCTGCCCTTTGAAGTGGCAAAAGGGTGTTGCGAAGCACCGATCTTATTCCGTTGAAACTCTTCTTTGGTCAAATCAGCAAATTCTGTTTGGATTTAAAAAGACGTTCAGATGGGTCAATCCTTATCCATCAAACCACTAAACAAACATGGATTCTTTAAACACACGAGTATCCTAACAAGTGGCCAAGCTACATGCACTAAGTGAGAGCCAGCCATGCATTTGCCCACCATGATTATTCTTGATCTAATAGTAATAACTAACTAGATTTTGATCCGCGATTTGAAAGCGCATGTTTTAAAGATTATATTATAATACAAAATCATATTAAATTGAAGAAGAGAATTTTTGAAAATGATATATTCTATAAATAATTTTAAGATTTTATATGTACATTTTTATATAATTGTCTCTTAGGCATGGATATTTAATCCGGATCAAAGGCCAAATCGAAAAAGACCCAAAACATAGGTTTGGCTTGGATCCGGTTTAGAGAAAATTACCTATTAGGTATTTTTGTTGACATGTGGGTCTTTATTTGAGTTTAGGTCATACCCTAGAGTTGAAAATATTTTGTGTATATTAAATATTAAATATACTAGAGTATTTCGAATATGTTTCTGGTATTACATATAGTTTTAAGTTTTGAGTTTAGGTTTACAATAGTTTTGGGTATCATGTAAAATTTGAATTAAAAAAATTGGGTAGTCAGATAATATTTTGGGTATTTTTTTTTGGTTTATCGGGCAGACTTCGAATAAAATTTTATATTTATAGGTATTTAAATTTTTTGGATATTTTTTGGAGTTTTAAGTATTTTCCATATTTTGGATATTTTGAATCTTTTTGTATCCTTAATACCCGAACAGATATGTTCAGAACTGATATACTTACCATTGAGTTTGTGGAAAATATTTGAAATATATACTGCAAATTTTTATTTATATTTATATGCTATAACCCATTTTATGGCGTGATATTGTAAAAATTATAACCAAAGAAAAAAAAACATTTCAGCATCCTTATTAGACATGGAAATATAATCGACGACCAATAGTGAATCAAAAGCGAAACAAAAAGAAACTCAAAACTAAACTGATACTCACAAATAACTAAGCGGTTCATGTTTGGTGATCAGAGTCTGTTTGAATCTGTTTAGGCTGATGAAAAAAACCAAACAATTCGTATATATCTATTATCTAAAACCGAAAAATCAGAATCGAACCTTTAGAATTTTTTTTTTTTTTTGATAAATATAGATTTCAAATATAGTGGTTCCTATGATTAAAGAGATATACAAATTTTTAAAATGTGATTTTTTGTCCAAAATATAGTGGTTCCCATACTCTGTTGAAAAAGTTAATATTAATCAACTATTGTAAGTATTTCAGAATTTAATAACAATGTAATTTTAGATAATAATTTCCGATCATAAAGATATTTAACAAAACTGTGAAATTGTTTTTAGAACTTATTTCTGAAACACTTAAAAAAAAGGAAACCATAGTACTTTTCTATTCAAAGAGAAACTTAATCATATACAACATGAATTAATATGTTTGCATGTCACGTAATTGCAATAGGAGATGCACCTGAGAAGTTATAATATTTCATGTCTAACCTATTACATAATTAAGAAAAATATAATATTTAATAGTTTTCATGTGAATATTATTTATTTTAAATGCCTCATCATTTTGTAGTGCAATTGTATAGCAATATTATTTTTTTGGTTTTATAAATTTATATTTATTTTCCGTTTTAAGTGTTGTAACTTTTTTTTTTATAAATTTACATTGCAGATGTATCATATATTTGCCATATATCTATTTATTAGTTATTCTTTTATTGTTTCCATATTTAAAAGTGAGATTTATTACGTGTATTTGAGTTATGGTAATTGAATATATCTGATGAGATATAGATTACAAATCAATTTTTTATATTGTTCAAATGTCATAGTTTTCTATTTTAAATGATATCTATGTTTCCAAACAAATTTAAAATGTACTTTAATTTTAATAATATAGATTTGAATATTTTCATAATCTAACTGGACAATGAAGTAAACACTCATTTATCTCCTTCTTTTTAAAGTTTTTTTTGCATTTTAATTTTGATATAAATTCGTTTTAATTAGGTTTATTTTCATAATTAGACATATATATATATATATATATATATATATATATATATATATATATATATATATCTGTATTTTCTTTTTAAACGTGACTATGCTTATACATCTATTGGATTTTCCGAGATGACACAGAAGACAAAATGGAATGCTAACCAATTCTGTCACAAAACATAACTATATAATTACATAATATTATTTGACTAACTAGAAGATGTCCGAATCTTATCAAAATACTTGACAATTGACTATGTCATAATTATATAGCTAGATTTTGACCCGCACTTAAAAAGCGCGGAAATTTTTTATGATTAAAAATTTATATAATTGGGTTTTTTTTTAATTTAAAGAATGTTTTGGTATAAAATTAGTTTACCAAAATTTGTGGTGATAGTTGTTTTTCATTAGTTTTTAGTTTCAGTTTTTATTTTTAAATTTTGTTTTAAATTTTGGTTTTTGGTTTTTAGTTCTTAAGTTTCTATTTTTGATTTTCAGTTTTTGGTTTGTTTTTTTAATTTTTAGACCCGCTGAGTTAGTTTGAACTGATATTACCAACAAACAAATCTCAATTAATCGAACATGTAATTTAAAACTAATAAGATGACAAAATAATTTTCTAAAAATTTTGAAATAGTTTATTTTGTAAATTAAAAAGCAAAAAATATAAGCTGCGTTTTCAGTTTTTGGTTTTGGATTTTAGTTTTTAGATTTGGTTTTTGGTTTTGCTTTACATTTTTTTTTAAATCTGTAATTTATTTAAGAAAAATAAAACAATGAATTATTTAAAAGTTACTATTAAAATTTATCAAGATAGAGTGATTGTTATTTAAAATAAAAATATTAACATGTTTTAAAGTACATGATTTAAATAAGTGATTAACAATATCATTTTGTTTTGTTGAAAATATTAAATATTTTTGGGCTAAAAAATATTAACATGTTTTAAAGTACATGATTTAAATAAGTGATTAATAATAGCTAATTTTGTTTTGTTGAAAATATTAAATATTTTTGGGTCTGAAAATAGTAATTGATTTTTGATCCATTAAGGTGAAAAGTTTATTTAATGTTTTTTGGAGTTTTTCTTTAATACTAAGCCCAAAACCAAATAATTAAATGTCATAAAAACAAAAGTAAGCCCAAAACTCTATTCCATAAATAACCGTCGGTTTAATTTAAGTAATGTGGTTCAGTCAACTATATAACTTGTATTATTTCTAACACTCTAGAAAATGTGCAAATTTAAATGACAAATTGTATCAGTAGATAAAAAGAATGAATCTATTTTAATAGAATAGACTAAATTTTGATCCGCGCTTGAAAAGCGCGGAAATTTTTTATGACTAAAGTTTTATATAATTGGATTTTGTATTAATTTAAAGAATGTTTTGGGATAAAATCAGTTCACCAAAATTTGTGGTGATGATTGTTATTCATTAGTTTTTAGTTTCACTTTTTATTTTTAGATTTTGGTTTTTAGTTTTTAAGTTTCTATTTTTGATTTTCAATTTTTGGTTTGGGTTTTTTAATTTTTAGACCCGCTGAGTTAGTTTGAACTGATATTACTAACAAACAAATCCCAAATAATCGAACATCTAATTTAAAACTGAAAAGATGACAAAAAATTTTTTGAAAGAAATTTGCAATAGTTTATATTGTAAATAAATAAAAGCAAAAAAAGATAGCCTGTTTTTTCAGTTTTTGATTTTGGATTTTAGTTTTTAGATTTGGTTTTTGGTTTTGCTTTACATTTTTTTTTAAATCAGTAAATTATTTAAGAGAAATAAAACAAAATGTTTAAAAGTTACCATTGAAATTTATCAAAACAAAGTGATTGTTATTTAAAAATAAAAAAATATATTAACATGTTTTAAAGTACATGATTTAAATAAATGATTAATAATAGACAATTTTGTTTTGTTTAAAAATATTAAATATCCTTTGGGCTTGAAAATAATAACTGATTTTTTGATCCATTACGATGGAAAGTTAATTCAATGTTTTTTGGAGTTTTTCCTTAATACTAAGCCCAAAAACCAAACCATATAATCCCCTATATATTAATTGAGAAACATTTAAAAAGATGTAACCTCAAGTTTGTAATAATTAAAAAGTAACCTTGCTTAGTTGTCAATCAATTAGCATACCAATTAAACTGACGTGGCAGCTTTAGGTTCAATTGAAATTTGCTAGGGAAACAATAATTAGAGACGCATGTAACGCATGTAACAGAGTTTACATTAATATATATATCCCACGCATGTAACCGGGTCATAACATTTGCGGACACATTAATACATGCCATCGAAGAAAAGGAAAATATACGAAATCATAATTATAGAGAGAGGAGTGTATATTAACTATAACTTCATACGTAATTGATAACGATTTGCATATATTAACTATAACTTCATTCCTTTTAATTTACGGAAGTGTATATGTAAAATGGAAAATACTTTGTGACCAAGTTTAAATTTAATGGTAAAGGCAATTGTATATGTAAAATGTAAAACTTAATATGTTAACTTGGGAATTTATGTAAAAATTAATATATGCAAATCGTAAATATCCCTTATATATTAAAGGAGAAACATTTAAAAAATTGTAACCTCAATTTTGTAATAATTAAAAAAGATCATATGCTTAGGTATCACTCAATTAGGTAGTCAATTACATTCAATTGAAAAATAAATAGGTCCACATTCGATTTTTATATTTCGCTAGATACATTCGTTGATCAAATTATATGATATGATGATATGATATGATATTTATGATAGAAGCATTTATGATTGTTTCCCTAGATATATTACTATTTTATTTTCTTTCCATAAATAAAACCTACGGAATTACCATAAATGACTAATATATATATGACACTTAATGATTCTAATAATAAATATTTGATAACAGTTTATATATCCTCCATCATTTTTCTTTAATTTTATATTATTAAAATAAATTAAACAATCAAATTAGCTATAAAATTAAACTTTAGATTTTTTCGTATAGGTTATATTTTGAATTTTAAAAAACGAGAATAAATAACTAAACTATTAAAACTATTATGTTAAAAATTAATGATCAATAGTTTAACATTTTTATTATAAAAAGATATACATGATTTTAAAACCATATAAGTAAAAAGTATCATTCAATAATAAAACAAATATATATACAGATTAAACTATATACCATATACGATTACATAAATATTTTAATTTCAAAATCCTCAATAAATTTTCAAGAACATTTATAAATTATAAATTTTTTTTATAAATTTTTCACATTGAAATTTTTTGTTATCAATGATTTAAATATCTTAGTTCTTTTTTTAATTTTATATTTTTAAAAGATATTAACAATCGATAATATGGTTATTTTTGGTATATACCATACAAACCGAATGGATGTGATTTTATAAAAATCATAGGATTTGGATATGATTTGATTTATAACCGATTAAACTGAAACATGTAAATATGTATATATTTATAACAACTCATGAATATCTATTTGTTACATGAGTTGAACTATAATTATAATTTGTAAATAGCTAACAATTTATTACAACTTAGACTTCTTATTTTGATCTTTTTTTCTTTTTTAACAGTAACTAAATTGAAGTAAGATTATAAATTTTATGGACAACAATTAGTTGAAATTATTTACAACTTTTTTTAATCTTTAAACAAACAGAGTTGTGTTCAATCGAAGACATATTGGTTTGATGAACACTAAATATGGAAGAATATAAAAACTTTTCTTTCATGCTTCTGTTTTGTTTTTTATTTTTATTTTCAAAATTTAGTGTTTTGATATTAATTCTAGATTTGATCATTTTATTAGATAATAGAAGCCTTTTTTTGTTTTTTATTCTTTTATTTAAATATATAATATTTTTTAATAAATGACTTTATGACAATATGACTCTAAATATGATCATATTATATATTTGTATAATATATAAAATGATCGCAAACTAATAATCATGTTTTTGGTATAAAACTGAATAAACTGAAAACCGATAGTATATAAACCAAATCAAACTGAAGTACATATAGATTTAGAATAGTAATTATATTTTAATAATCAAAATACCAAAAAATCGAGCCGAACCGAAACCTGATATCCGGATTGAACACCTCTAATCCGGATGAAACCGAACTATAGTTTCATTTTTCAAAACATAATAAAAATAATAGATTCATCCCGCGCAAGGCGCGGGTCTTATCCTAGTTTGTTTTAAGAACAAAAGTAAGCTCAACACTATATCCCATAAATAACCATTAGTTTAATTTAAGTAATGCGGTTCAATTAACTATATGACTTGTATTATTTGTAACACTCTATAAATAGTCCAAATTTAAATGATAACTTGTATCAGTAGATAAAAAGAATGACTCTATTTTAATAGAGTAGATTACTAACTTGAAAATTTATTAAGATAAAGTTGATGTGTAAGACATATTATGCAAGGATATACTATTGTTCCTTGCTAATTTCAGTTAGAAATCGATTAAAATTGGTTTGTGTTTCCGGCATCATATAAATAGTCAAATTATATTAAAAATTTTCAGTTCAGTAATAAATTAAGAAAATCAAAACTTAAATTAAAATACCATCAACAAACCCCACATATATAGAAATTTTTGCTTCAGTTATATATATTTTATAAAAATCATATTACAACATATCGCGATATTTAATATGTCAATACTTGTAATTTTTTTGTTTGATCAATTTCATAGGATAGTGTTTTTAGTTATTGTCATAAAACTAGCACGCAAGAAAGAATAAAAAAATACCAAAAACAATTTATTGAAGGATAAATATATTTTTGTACTTCTAGGATTAATTAATTTTAGATTTTGAATTTAAAGTTAAATGCTGAGTTTTAAGATTTTAAAAAACAGAAAAAGCAGTTATTATTTTTTTTGAAAAGAAAATGGTATAAATATTCTATTTAATGAAATTTCTTTTAATTGTTTTTCTTCTTCAATGATTTTTTTGTGATAAAACTTTTAAAATGACTATTTAAGAGAATTGTTTTTTTTTTGTTATCCAACACAACAATATAAGAGTTGCAGTTTGTAAAAAAAAAAGATATTTTACTTGAAATAAATAAATTAAACGATTTCTATTACTATTCAAACTTTTTTTATGAAAAATATTTTACAGTATTATTTTTTTTTTTAAAGTGTGGCTCCCATCATATTAATTTGAATCAGAGACTTCATTTCATGGAATCTATATTGGTAAAATTGTTTTAATAATAAATACTATTTTCGTGCTTCACAAATAAATAAATAAATAAATATTACTATTTTCGTTTTGTTGACAAAAAAAATACTATTTTTGTTTCACAAAGATTTTTTTTAATTTTCTATGGATATATTATTCCTATTCTTATCAATTTTAATAAAGTTAAACTAATAAAGATTAATAAAATAACTTTAAAATTTTAGAATTTATAACTATTAAATAATTGAAAATATAAAATTATCTTTTTGAAATATTTTTTTGGGCAAACCATCTAATCTTTGTAGAGTAATAAATAAATAAAAATAAAAATGAATATCTCCCAAAAATTCCCACTTACATAATATGCCAATAATAATCCATCGTTAGACTGGAACTACAGTTTCAGAACAAGAACGATAAACTTACGATTGACACCGAGTTTGTAAGATAAGCCTTTCTTGTTGGTGGATCTGATTAAATCAAGATTCTCCTTGAACACCGAGAAACGGTGCTTTATCTCCTCCTCGTTCTCATACTTTTTGCCATACCTTCAATCACCAAAAAGCGCGAACTATCAGTTTGTTATATCAAATAGACGGGACTTGAACTCAACGGCGAATGCACCAGTAATGGTAAAGGATGCTGGGACTTACTGGTGAGTGAAGCGAGCAAAGGAGAGAACGTGACTTGATTGGCCTAATATCTTGACAAAGGCTTCCTCTACCTTCCGGAGACCGTCGGGGATAGGAGTAGACTCATGGGATCCAATGAGAATAACCAGAACCACCAATGATAGGATTGCTCTCACAGACATGCTTCTCTCCTAGTCTTTTGTTCTTACTTTTGTTGCCCTCAACACTTCTTCTGCTGGAGTGTTTTGATGGAGCGATTGTGAGAAGTAATCATAACCTGAGATGATATTATATAGTCCCTAGAATATTTATAATAGTGTTATAACCTTCTTTGTTTGTAATTTATTTATTTATTCACCAACTTTGTAAAACAACTATCTAGTCATCATCTTTTAAGTTAATGAACTCATGTTGAATGAGTACCCCAGATCGGGGAGCCAAATCAGATCGAATCTCTGTTAGACGTGGGAGTCATAATAAGTGTATTATGACTTAAGTGTATTAGACTGGACGTTTTTAATAAGTGTATTATATAAAATAAAACATGAAGATCAACAAACTAAACGTGATCATTTGTTTTTTATTTTTTATTTTTGCAAAATCTATAAGAATAAGTTACAACTAAATCATCTGAAATGACGTTATTGAGGATTCTTCCAAAGGTTTTCTCATGGGCCATACGCTCATTCCTGCTTGAAATGCTCGAACCATGTGTAAGTGAACTGCTTTCAATATCCCAGACTCTTATCCCAATATATTCTTAATTCCTCACTCTTCCAGCTCATTCCGTAAAGTTTAATTATATCTCAATCACTTTCTACTGTAGTCAGCCTTGTTTGTGCAGCTGCTTCTTCCTTTTTTCTTACTCTTACTGCACCAGGAATGCAAATTATTTCGAACCTATATTGTTGTTAATAATTTAATTAATACTTTATCAACCATAAATTACCTGTATGCTATGTAATACAAGTTGAAATAAGAAGATATTCTCTCCATCTCAGTTTAGTTGTCCTCCTAGTTTTTTCCCACATATTAAAAATTCATTAAATTCTTATTTTACTCTTAATTAATACATTATTTGTTTGAAATGAATTAACAGAATAAACATAAATTTGGAAAAGTAGCAAATAAAAACAATATTTAAAATAAAATACATTTTAATTTCTAGAACAAAAATTAATCTGAAACGGAGTGAATAATACATAACTTATACTGATAGGTTTGACATGCATGGTATATATTATTAAATTTCACATATATTTACTCCTACAAAACCCACCTACGATAAGATTACAAATTGTCACGGCATCGTCTCCTTCTCTATTATAACCAGAAGTTCTTGTTTGAGCTTCATGTTTTCAGTCTCCATGGTAGCCACCAATTCTGATTTCTTTTATCTTCCTTCATCTACATCACTCCAAATGACACTGTTTTAGACAAAGATTAGTTTCTTAACCATGGTTTATTATCAACAATTTTGTTTACGATGTCTACAGTGTCGTCAATCATGTTAACGGTTCCAAGTAAATAGCTTCTACGGAATTTAGTAGATGGATTAAAAAGAAAAGTAGATTGTGTATTGTTTCAGTCACTTTAAAATTTTATGTATTAAGTTGAAAATCTATACAATTCTATACAATTAAAAGGAAATCATTTCTAAAAAAATCTATTTAAAAAGGTTACTACATCCTTTCATTTGTAGTCCTACCTATTTTATGTAACCAAAAATTGCCTATATTTAATCCTACAGTATTACAACATATTTTGTAGTTACGTGTTATCACCGTACCATTCTTAGAATCCTTAGAATATAAATTAGTACATATAATTATATATTATATTTTTATTAAACTAACTATCAAATTAATAACTAGTGTACAAAAGAATATTCTTTCTTTCTTTAAATAAAAGCTATGGAATTATCTAATATATTTAACATATATATGATAATTAGTGATTATGAATAATACAAATTTGATAACAATTTTTAAATACTTTCTATTTTTTTGTTTAATTTTATATTATTAAAATAAATTAAACAGTCACATTAAGTATATAATAAAAATAGATTTTTTCTTATATGTTATATTTTGATTTTATTAAACGATTATATATTACTAAAAATGGTAAAAGTCTCACATTGAAATTTTTGATCAATGATGTATCTTTTTTTTGTTCAAGCAAGATACAAATTGTTATCAATCATATGAATATAAAGTCTCATTAAGAGATATTCATATTATATATATATATATATATATTAATTTGAATTAAATTAAATTATATCAAATATATAACTATGTTAATTTTAAAATTTGCATGGAAAATTTATCGAGATCTTAATAATTTAATTTTGAAATTCATATTAGAATAATTTCACATTGAAAAATTTGTGATTAACAGTTAGAATTTTTTTTAAAGAAAAAATAAAATTTTTAATAAAATAATATGAGTAGGAAATGTTAATAATAAATATATAATAAAATATATTCAATATATCTATGTTAATATCAATAACATTTAATTGTATACCATTTAAAATAAATAAAATGATTATTTTAAATTATTTACCAAAAACATGATTGTAAATTTAGAAAATGTATTGGTTTTAATTTATGTGCTTACTCTAATTTATATATTTTTATGTACAAATTAATTTTTAAATATGTAGTTTCTAATATGTTATTTGATCATGACAATATGATATATATGTTATTTCATTCAAATTAAATAATCTAGTCTTGATATATATTCTTAAAAAACTTTTAATGAAATATCTTGACAAGATTTCCGTCACCTTCTTTTGAGTTTGTTCAAAGAACTCGAAATTTGTTCATTCTTCTAATATTTGTTTTTCATAATAACCAATCTAGCTATTATAATTTATCCAAACGTGACTTATGCTTTTAATACTTTGGTTGGATTTGTTTATAACCCATACCGAACTGAAATCCAAACTATGATCTAAAGATATTTGAAATTAGTATAATATGTTAATGTTTTTATATGCCAAGATAATTTAGATATTTTATTGTATTCAAAATATTTTTGTAGTTTGTTTTATTTTTTTTATTTGGAATATATTTTAGTTAGTTTAGATAGTTTAACCAATTTTAAATTAGATTTAATTAATAATTTAAATATATTGACATTTTTGTCAATTTTGAGGTTTCAAAAATATTTTCTGGGTCAGTTTCAGATATTGGTTACAATTTGATCCAAACCGAATTTGGAAGAAACCTAATCGAATCCGATCCAATAATTAGTAAAACCCGAATGGGACTGAAGAACATAATACCAAAAATTTGAAAATCTAAATCAATAGAACCTAAACAACGGACCCCTGAACGCCTAGGCATATGATATATTTATAAAACCAATATTTGTATTTGTCATTTTACATTCGCTAAAGATTGAAGTGTTGTAAAATGTTAAAACCTAACAAATATTAGGATAACCATATCCTGTAAAAGAAAGTGGGTACAAAATCTCAATAAAAAAACTCACTCTCCTAGCTAGTCTTAGACACACTTCAAGAAGTTGAAGAAAATTACTTTGGAAGTGTAAGTTGGATTAGTTCCAAACCAAGATCAAAGTGCTATGGGTTTGAGTCTTTAAGTGTAAGTTGGATTAGTTCCAAACCAAGATCAAAGTGCTACAATGTCCCTAAGTTATATTTTGTAGTGTCAAGATGGTTAAATTTTCAAGTAGAGTCGGATAAAATGTTGTCTGGAGAACAAGTTGGTTAATGATAAGTTGATGAATTTGAAAAGAAAAAAGTGCTACAATTTCTAACTTGAAGACGTAATTTCTAATTGGTAACCATGAGAATATTATGTATGAATAGAAAAAAAATGATAAGAATAAAATGATATGAATGAAGAATAATGATTGTCCTTTCTCAAATTATTGAGAAACATTTGCGTTATATTTTTTTTTTTTAGGAATGCGAATGAATGGAAATGAAAAATTGTTACCTATAAATGTTATGTTTAGGAATAGTAAAATTTTAATGTTTCTTTGGTCACCAATTAGACTCATAATATCAAGAGGACCCGGGAACTAAAAAGAAACCAAAAGCGAGACCGAAGGTTGCGGGACTCACCCTCTATTTGATCTTTAGAGTAGGTTTAGGCTCTTACGATGTTAGCTGCTTAATCGTTTCAAGTGAAAAGATATCATAATACTAGTTTAGAGGTCTAAAAAGACTGCCTTTGAATATTGAACAAATAGCCTTAGACCATCTTTACCCAACATACACTTAATGGGTCTCTTGATCAAATTTTAATATTGTTTAAGGAATAAAGTAGGTGAAGAGACTTAGTGAAGAACCTTGATATATTTATGTCTCCATTGCAAGTTTCTTGTTTTTAGAGTTCTTCAAAATAAAATAATATTAAAATTTTTATATTAAAATTAAAACAAATTTTATTAAATAAAACATAATAAAAGATAATTAAGACATAAATTTTTTAATAAAAGCATGAAAACAAAGTTTATTAAACTAAAACGACATTTTTTGAAAGATGCATCCGAGATCAGTTGTTGTCTTCATCAAGAGCTCTATATTTAAGCCAAACATGTTCAACCAAATCAGCTTTCAGTTGATGATGCATTGGTGTATCACGGATTCTTCTTCGAGCACCCATCATATTGGTGATATTTGAAGGTATCTCTTGCTGAAAATCGAGATCGACAAGTGAATTTCCGGTGTGTTCTCCTTGTTGGAACTCTGAAACATTAAATAGAGTGTATCCATCTCGTTCGTTTTCTACTACCATATTATGGAGAATGATACATGCTCTCATAATATTGTCATTTTTGATTTTATCCCAAAAAAATGCTGGCTTTTTGACAATGGCAAACCGAGCTTACAAGACTCCAAAAGCACGCTCGACATCTTTTCAGAAAGCTTCTTGCTTTCTAGCAAATAAAACCGTTTTCAGCTCTTGTGGCAGTGAAATAGACTGGATAAAAGTTGTCCATTTAGGATAAATACCATCAGTGAGATAGTAAGTCATATGATACTCTCTTCCATTGACATAGTAAGTGACTGGCGGAGCTTCACCATTTATTATGTCATCAAAAACAGGTGAGCGATCAAGAACATTGATATCATTTAAGGTACCTGGAGGTCCAAAAAATGCATGCTATATCCAGAGATCATATGAATCAACCGCCTCTAAAACGATTGTTGGTTTACCCGAATCACGAGAATATTGCCTTTTCCAAGCCGTGGGACAATTCTTCCACTCCCAATGCATACAACACTAACAACCTAACTCAACATTAAAGAGGTCAATAATTTCGAAAGAAGTGGACATTTACCTGTATTTCTCTGCTTCGCACTCCTCTGCTTTGAGGTTCCTTCATTGAATACAACATTAACTACACACGAACACACAAACAAAGAAAATCCAAATAATGAAAACTATTTCCTTCACAGAATCAAATAATGAAAACAAAACTCTCTTACTGCTAGTCTCGACGGCAGGTACCGAGACTTGAGACGCTCTCCTTTCAACAACTTGGTAACAAGGGCAAAGACAGGTCCTTGAAGCCCTCCAGGTTGCTGAAGAGACCCCATTGAAGTAGCTCCACAACAAGTTTCCATTCTTTCTCTACTTCTACACTCACAACAACAACAACAAATATCCAATTGTAACAGGAACATAATATACAGACAACACCAGTTACTGATGATATGATAAAGCAATATAATTAAACAAAATCAAATACGAAAAACAGAGGCGGACTGTTTCTATCTGACTCAAAAAAAAAAAAAAAGATTTAAACTTTGAATCAGAGACAAACATCGTTTAACATCAGAGATAAGCAACATATCATATTATCAGCTACTGACTCCCAAAACCAAATCCGAATTAATCAAATAATAGAGTGAATTCCAATGAATTTTTTTTTCCGGGAACTAAACTAAAAGCCCATAAAAGAGGTAAACGAGAACGTGTAACACTCACCGGTACGGTAGATAAAGTTTTGAGCTTTAGATGGAGATGGAGTCAAGAAATGAGAAGGAAGCTAATATGGAAAGGATACCCTCTAGCAGATGCTCAGATGACACCGTCGAGGAGAGCTCCGTCGCCATTGATACACCAAATCGAACCCAACAAACAAAAAATACAAATCAAAATTGAGATCACAACAACTTAAACATACAAAGAATCGTATGCAAGATGAAACAATAGAAGAACCATACCTTTCGATTAAAGCCACCGCGAGAAAGCTCCGTCGCCTTCGAAGAGACACACCGAGAGACAGATTCAACCGATTACAACAAGAAGAGACTCAATCACATGCATCATCGATCATATCGCCAAACAAATCGCCTTCGTCGAGAGGATTCGAGAAAGAGAGAGATAGAAAAATAAATTTTTGATACGCGTTTAACGCGTAACCGACCCACCATCTTCTCGCTTATTGACACGCGTCCACCAATATACGTTCCTTCGCGAGCCAAAAAATACCCCCTCTCTTCTGCTTTCTTCCTTTTTCAATTTTCTTTTAATCATATTTAATTCCAAGAAACGGGTTAAATTAACCCCGATAAAGATGGTCTTATCATTTTTTTTACATTCGGTATGCTGATAATATAATTTACATTTACGGATATATGATTGATTCTCAACTCTTTTATTACGAAATGTTTTAAACAAAATAAAACCGTGTAAGATAATCTGCAGCCATTTCTTTTTTCTAATGTATAGTATAACGTCTAAAAAAACTTCGGTGAAAATGTATTAATATTTAGCCAAATTTATAATTTTAGCTACTGACCTTTTAGAGGTTTAGAGAATTAGGGCATCTTTATCGCATATGATAGAGAAGTTTCTTAGCACAAAAAGTGACAGTGAACCCTAGCAACATTATCAAAACCGGTGACAGAAATTACCAACTAAGGAACAATTATGGGGATTTTATTGCACTGTTTGTGGGTCTCACCGATAGGTGGCAACCCACAATTGATTTGATTTTTAACTTTTTTTTAGAGAAAAAACAAAAAAAAAGTTTAAGAAACTCAAAAACAGTTTTAGGGATAATCATGGTCTTACGTTCTTCTTCAGCGCCCGACTAATATATTGGATTAACTTCTATATTATCCACAACAGTTGTTATGGCATGTCACAAAAATTCTAAACAATAGAGGACTATAATGGACTTGGTCTTTGACTAAATTTGTGCAAACCACGAACTATTAGCTTAGGTTTCTCCAAACTTAGCAAATATAAGGCATACTTTTAGAAATCTTAACGTATTTGATATCAATTCTAACATAGTACTTTCTAAAATTATCCAACGTCCTTAATCAGTCTCTTAGTGTACATAAATAGATCCACCCTAAAATGAAAAGCCAGAGAACTTCTGAATAACAAACAAGAAAAAACTAAGAAAATAAAACTTCCGACGAAAAGAAATGGCAACGTCCTCCGTTCTGTCCACCTTAGCCGCCGCCGCGATTACGTTGCAACTACTCTTAAATCCAGCTTCAGCCTCCCCTCACATGAAATACATTGACGCTGTCTGCGATCGCACCATGGACCAAGCTTTCTGCGTCAAAACATTGACTAGTAATCCCCCTACGGCTGCTCCCATTGCCCTGGTACACATCTTTAAACCTATATCACAAATTGTTTTGCATGCGTTTGTCTTCCACATTTTTTTTTGCAAATCAATCAAAGAAAAAATTGTGTTACGATTTCATTCCTTAATTTCCACAATCGTTCACATGTTTAATCATGTGCATAAATTGACATTTTTCAAACGTCAGTTTATGCATACAAATAGTTTTTGTTTGAGAAAATCCTATAAAAATAATTCTAAATGCACACATGAAGCCACAAAACTATGAACTTTTTGATAAACTTTAATTATTAATTTTTATATAATTATATTTTTGTTGACTTTTTGGATACGTAAAACAGTCAGCCCTTCAACTATTAACTTTTATATATCCAAAACAGTTTAATTAGCAGAGAAAGAAAACATATATATATATATATATACACCTGATTCATTTTAATAGTTCTTTTAAGATTTTATTTCTGTTTCAGTTTAAATAATTTTTTTCAGATTTCTATGTAAAACTTTATTGCTGTTTGGTGTTTTTGAATTGTATTCAGTAAATGATTTTTTGTCGGATTATGTTTAATCTATACTATTATTTGCGAAGTGATTTTTCGCAACGGAACTCTCACGTTAAAAGTTAGCATGGTTAATATCGTTTATACCCTTAATGAAAAAATATAAATTATACAAAAAATAAAAAACTAGATACAAAATTAAATAAGTGATTAAAATTAGTAATGATAATAGAAATTATCCAAAATCAAAAAAAATATTTTAAAATAAAAAGATAATTCATCTACATGTTGTTTTGTTATCTTAAACAGTCTTTTAATATAAAAATTAAAATAGAAAAGAATTAAAAATTATTTTATTAGATGAGTTATTAAAATTATTAATAATAAATATAATCCAATTTATAAAAAACATTTTAAATAAAAAACATTTTAAATAAAAAACATAATTAATATATACATTGTGTTGTTATCTAAATAATATCTTTTATATTAAATTTAAATAATCACAAAAATAAACACATAAAAATAATTAATCAAGTAAAATTCTTAATTTTATATAATTATAATTTTAAAAAATAATGAGTGATTTCTAAGATTTATTTATTTATTAATAACAAATATAATGTACCAAACAAAATTTCAAAATATTTATAATACGTAATAATTACAAAACATAAACATAAACAATTAGTTATCATTATAGTTTTTAATTAGTAATATATGTATTGATAAATAATTATAAAATATTTACGCCCGCATGAGCGGGTAAAACAACTAGTTACTGTAGAATGAATAAAATGACAATTTCTTAACAGTTGTACAAAAACATTAAACATCAACTAGAGTAATTTTGACGGTTAAATAATAAACACTATGAAAATATAGATATTTTGCCCTTCTTTGTATATTCTTTTGGGTTGAAACTGATATTTTCCTAACATCGTAAATGAGAATTATTACTATTTTGCTAATAAGATCTCTTTATTAACCCTCGTAAAGCATCCACTGGCCGAGGCCGTGATCGGACTCGCTCTATCTCACGCCGAGAAGACAGCTGTTTTCGTGGATGAGACAGCCAAAAAAGATCCAACGCTGCAGACTTCGTTTACAGAATGCCACAAGGCCTATCTGGCTGTAGCGGCTGCTCTCAAGAGCGCAGGTGTGAACCTCAAGCAATCCCCCGACAAAGCTAACTACGACGTCAGGTCTTCGAGCGAGCACACAAGGCGCGTGACAGAACTGATTGGGAAAAACACTGACGAGGCTTGGACCACGCTCAAGGAAATGACTGTGCAGATGGATAAACTCCTCGATCTTGCAGGTGGAGCAGCTGATGCTGTTGATGACGATGACGAGAACGTCGACCGTCGCGTCTGATTTTGAACCGGTAGGTGTTTTTTTTTTGGGTTCGCAATATAAATGATAATAAGTATATGAATGGTCTGTATATAACACAAACTGTATTATGATAACATTAGTAATTCAGCCTTTGAAATATTTGTAGAATTAAGTTTTTTAGTATATATGGGTAGGAAGAAATAATCAAAAAGGTAAACAAAATCTTTGTCTTGGGTGTTATGATACCATGTTAATAAAGTTTCTTATGTTATTTTATATGGAGGCACCTCCTTATATACAATACACAATGTTTAATCAAGTGTATACATAAACAGATTTACAAGTACGAGAGCTAAAGACTTTTCCAAGTAAAATGCAACGTTGAGAATCAAAATCAGGAGCGTCAAAATAGTAGTTATATATAGAAAATATGACACGGTCTATAAATAATGAGACGGCTAGGAATATGACTCACATAATGCGACCGGAGTACCATCATGTGGGGCCGGGGAGAGCATATAGAGCAAGCAGCATCATACAACTGAGTTGAGCCAATGCCAACAACAATGTACTGGTCTTAGTTATGTTACAACGTTCCCAGCAACCCCTCAGTTCCTCACAATCTCTTAGCAAAGCTTAGTTTGGTTCAAGAAACCAACAAAGTTTGTCCTTGTTATCTGAAAAATAGCTGAGAGATAGGCAACCATGTATTACCATTTTTTTCCAAAAATGATTAGACAAATCACATAAAATATAGAGTTAATTGGGTGTAAAACCATCAAAGAAGCAAATATTAAGTATATGCCATAAACAGTATGACATAGAGAAAGTACTCCAAACGCGAGAATCGTAAATGACGGTAAGACCCTCAACACTTGCCAAAATAGAGTTCAGGTAGTCTAGGTCTGTAGGTTTTTAATTCGTAGGATTTTATTTAGATTTTGTAGAGATTGTANGAGTTAATTGGGTGTAAAACCATCAAAGAAGCAAATATTAAGTATATGCCATAAACAGTATGACATAGAGAAAGTACTCCAAACGCGAGAATCGTAAATGACGGTAAGACCCTCAACACTTGCCAAAATAGAGTTCAGGTAGTCTAGGTCTGTAGGTTTTTAATTCGTAGGATTTTATTTAGATTTTGTAGAGATTGTATGAAGATATTATTAAGATTTTAATAGATTTCATCGGTAAACAAAAAACTAAAACAGTGACTGGAGAAAATTTACCGTCCACACGTTTTCTGACCCAAACGGCGCATGCCAAAATCGAGCAAACATATCTCAAGTTGCCTCCTCTTTTTTAAGTATATGTGTAAGTATAGATGTATATAGTTTTCGACTTTTGAGGACTCTATAAAACACAGGAAACGGTCTCATAATTTCCCTGCAGAGAAAAAATAGAGGTTAAGAAGAAGGTGATAAAAAACTGTGTTTCTCAACCTTTAGCCGGTGAAATCAATTTCTTAACTGTAAGTAGTTATTGTACGATGTTGATTCTCTCTGCGCCGTTGTTTATTTATAGAGTATATGCATTGAATTCGAAGAAGTTGTAAATGAATCACCATAAATACCATCTCTTTCCTAATTTTATTGTCGTGTGTTAACCTAATGTTAAGTATTTTAATTGTCTAATTGTCTAAATCATCGTTTTGTAGAACTATTTTGTTGACTATTCTTTAAGTGTTCAATTAGTAGTTCTGAAACTTTCCGAACTCTTGGTTGACAAATACTAATATTACCATCAACCACAGGTGATGGGAAGACTGTTTCGTGTGTTTCGTGGTGACTGGAAGAAGAACCGCAATGATCACTGGCATTTTCTCCAAACCCCTGAAGAAATTGGCTGGACTATGTATGTTGAGGATGATGGAAACTATTCCGTTGTTCTAGGTGCTATTAGAGAGGTATATGGTCTAGCTGAGGAAACTCCTGTTGTCATCACGTATGGACTACCTGAGTGGAGGCTTTTCCCTGATGGAAACATACCCCCGACGACTATCTCCAACTCTGATGATCTTCAGCGTCTCTTGAAGGAGAGGACATGGCTAACAGATGTTACCTTACTCGCTACGATTGGTGCCAGGAGCGTGGCAGAGTACAACTTCCTCAGACGTTCTAACTTCACTATTGGTGCAACAACTTATGTTGTAGATGGTACGCAGGATGGCAGATCGAGCGCCATATTTGAAGGTTGTTAATAGAACCACATTTTCTTGTTGTAAATACACATATATTATAACCTTCACCCGGATATTGATCATTAAACCGACGTTTTGCAGGTATGGTTTTTGGTGAAAGGCTCTTGACAAGTACTAGTGTGATGTGGGAGATATTTGGAGAACAGGAGATGCAACTCCTCTATAGAGTTGCACTAGAGCTGGGAAATGTTGACAGGGGCATGGATCTCCATCCCGTAGCTGGCGTACAGCAGGGTATTGAGATAATACGCCTTGATGATGACGACGATATGGTTGATGCTGATAACTTGGGAGCCCAAAACACTCAATCTGTAGCCCCTACTGGTGAGAACGCATGCACCATAGTAATATTATTCTTTTGGCCAGCTATCATAAATATTAACTTCTTACTTTTGTAAATGTTAAGGAGGCCCGAGTACTAGCTCTAACCAGGTAGTACCAGTCAATGCTTCCCAGGCCCCTTCTGTCCTCTGGGATGTGGGTGTAGACCTCTCTGAGTATCCAGCATTTATTGATTGCGAGCAGGAGGCTGGCCCCGATGTAGATGAAACTGATTTCTGGAGGGATTTAATGGAAGAGGAGGAGGCTAAAGAAGCTGCGGAGTTGGAGTCCTATGCAGCTTGGTTTGATGAAACCGGTGCAATACCAAGTAATGGAGAGATGGTGGGTGTTGAAAAAGGTCCAGAGTCTTCGACGGGATCTACTGCGTTTGCCTTGTCTCAATATGGCGGCAGATCTTCCACTCAAACTAAAGACTTGGGAGAAGTTAGCTCAAAGGCTTCTGTTTTCCAAGAAAATAAGACTGGTTCTGCGAGTAATGAAGGTAGTGAGCATCTTGTTAAATGACATTTAGTTTTTGGTTTTGGTAGACTAATCCTTTCAGCCGTGACAGATTCTGTTGTCCAAGTCCAGCAAACCATTAGTGCTCCCTCAAGCACTGAAGGTAAAATCAACCAAGATATGCATGTATTTGTACATTGTTATCCCCATTAAACTTGTTTTGATTGTTTTATTTCTTTCAAACTGGCACAGTTTCTGCTGGTCATGTCCCACTGTCCTCAGTGCAGCTTGGTGACAATGTCCCAGCTATTCCACCCGTGTCGGCATCTCCTTCATCGAGCATCCCCCCTACAGTCTCAGAAGTTCCAATAAGTCAGAAGGGACCAGCACCACTGATGGGGGCTGAGAAGGCGATGGACACTTCTTCCGAGTGTAGCCACTCTGAGGGTGGGTCGTAATACTTCATGTGTTGGAGACTAATAAAGCGCTTGTATTATATTAAAGTTTAAGTGTTAGTGTGATGGGGTTTTTGGGGTTAAACGGTTAGTGATAAGTTTAACCAGTAAGGATGGATTTTGTGTGGTTAAACTTTCCTCTAACCGTCTTATGTTGTCATGTAGCCGGCTAAGTAACGTTTCTGGTCAATGTGTGTAACGGGTTTGATGTACACGGTTATTTTGGGGTTTGTCTTTTGTTTGGGGTTGGTTTTTGTTGGGCAAATTTCCTGTAACCGTTAATCAATTAATGAAACCGTTGACCTTTTAAAGTTTTCTGCTTCACAACCACCGTAACCAATTACATATCTCTGCCTTTCTGGCTAATTATTGCGTTGGTACTTCATATGTACTTTCATGGTGTACGTTCGATGAAAGGTGCAATTGTAATAAAGTGTCTGAACATTTGACAGGTGATGACGCTGACCGTTTCGTTGGCCTATCGGTAGGAATGATGTTCCGTAACAAAGATGCTTTCAAACATCACATGGCGTTGTATGCAATTGAGCACAAGTTTTGCTTCCGTTCTCCCAAGTCCGACCGTTTCTTAGTGATCCTTGTCTGCCAAGGGATCGGGTGTTCGTGGCGTGTTTATGCTGCCCGCTTGAAAGATTGTGACATTTTTGAAGTAAGGAGGTTCTCTAGCGAGCATACTTGTTCGATAAACGTTCGAGGGGGTTACCAAAACCAAGCCACATCTTCTGTCGTCGGAGAGCTCATGAAGACAAAATTTGCTGGTGTTGGCGGCGGGCCTAAACCGAGAGAAATAAGACGTATGATGCGTGGAGATCACAACGTTAGTATATCCTACTGGAAAGCATGGAGGTCACGTGATATGGCAGTTGATAACGGTAATGGAACGTGCAACACTTCGTATCTTCACCTCCCTTATTATCTCGATGCTCTTAAAGCGGCTAACCCCGGTACAGTTGCCGAGTTACACACTGAAAATAATGATCACGGAGAGCAGCGGTTCAAATATATGTTTCTCGCTATGGGAGCTTGTGTGAGGGGGTATGAGTTCATGAGAAAGGTAGTTGTTGTTGATGGAACTCACCTAAAAGGCAAGTACGCCGGGTGTCTACTCACAGCCTCCGCTCAAGATGGGAATTACCAGATATACCCATTAGCTTTTGCAATTGTCGACAGCGAGAATGACATGTCTTGGGAATGGTTCTTCAAGCAACTATCGGCTTTTGTGACTAACGAAGATGGCCTCGTGGTGGTCTCTGATAGGCATGCATCCATTTTCAAGGGGGTTAGCAAGGTAACTATATCTAATATACATGTACATAATATTAGATGTCTAACAGATAGAATAGCCGGTATGTGATCTTGTTATACGCATATACTTAACTAAGTAGACGTTTGATATATATATGAGCTGTATATTTAATCTTCGCATAGACGTCTACGTAGTTGGGTAGATGTCTAACATGTATGTTGGCCGGGATTTCATCAAATTTACTCTTTCTTATATCAGGTTTTCCCTAAAGCGGGGCACTGCGTCTGCGTTGTCCACCTTAAGAGGAACATTAGATCCAACTTCAAAGGGAGGCATTTAG